GAAAGATACTCGCCTTAGCAAAGGGAGTAGTTCGATGTTTCTTGATCTGGGCTAGTGGTTCAGGCGGGGCCCATAACCTGTCGCAGACAATACCGCGCAGTGGAGATACGACCAGTAGCGATCACCTAGAAGACAGAGTCTCAGCGAGTGTAGAGACACAGGAGCTATATCATTAGCTGTACCTAGAAGACAGAGTCTATGGTACAAGTCATAAGTAAGGTCATTAGATCGTAAGAGAGAATGCATACCTCAGCGAGTGTAGAGACACAGGAGCTGAGGATATGGAGCGTATAGTACTAGGTTTATATACCAGTCTGGAGCAGATATCATGATGTCATAGTGGAGTAATGATATCATAGATGAGTAATGGATGACGCAATAATGAGGTCAGGTATGAGGTCATTGTGGAGCGAGCCAAAGTAATCTAAGAATACTACTTATGATGTCATGTCTACATACTGTGATAGTCGCTAATACAAACAAGCTTCAACAGCTTCCTCCTTGTCGGAAAACCACGCAAATACATCCTCTTCTGAGCTAGGACCGTCGGATGCGCCTGGAACAACCGGCTCGACATGATCAATGAGGCGGCAAAGCGCTGCATTCTGTTCCAAATCTGAAATTGTCAGTCACTCACAGGTGAAGCAGTTTGATAAGACCCAGATTGAGATGTACCAAGCCCATCTCCACCATTCACACCACCCATGTAGTACGCTCCGTCTCGACCCACAATGTCATCCCCTCCACGAAGCGGCCGTAGATTAGGAATTGGTGGAATCTCGTCCCGATACTCGTTTTCTGCCTGAGTCAAGGCAAAGCCCCAGAGGTCATCGACGGTTGTAGGAACATGGTGAGTTTCATCGAATCGCTCAAAGTGATGAAGCAGTTGCCGATACACATCCCAACATGTGTTCCGATTGACAGAGGGTGAGCCAAGGTCAGTGTAGAACTCACCAATGTATGCTTCGAAATCAGGGGGAACTAGATTGAAGATGTCGTGGTCCGGAGACGCATATTCACCTCAGTTACCACCGCCATCACCCGGTTGCACCCCCGCGGGGGTCCTACTGGGTACCCTCAGACGTAGCTCTGAGGGTACCCAACAGGTACCCCCCTGCGGGGCCCGCGGGGGGGATTTGGTCCATTTGGGGCAGGGGCATATGCGGGGATCAGCAGGGGGGGTGCAGGGGGGGGGGGTCTGTACATATCATGTGATTTATCATTGGGAGCGGGCAGGTGGGCGCGAAAAAAAAAATGAATCACATGACACATCCAATGGGCGGGATGGCGGCTGATGGCGGGGTAAAAAAATCACGTGATGCACTGCATGAAAATTATCAAAGATGGCTAGCAGGGGTTGGCGGGGGTTGGCGGGGGGCGCTACTGTCCCCCCGCACACCATGGCGGGCAGTGGGCGCATTATCACGTGACTTTTGGGGCACCTTTTGTGCACCATTCGGCATGATTTCGAAGGTGTTGCTTGATCCATTGCATGCTGTGGCAGACAATGGGCGCATAATCACGTGATTTTCCGCCCAAAAAATGGAAGCCTTCCCAAATCATCCTGGTATCATTTCTATAGGTAAATACACTACTTAAGCATGAATTTGAGCTTGGAAAGCCCAAAATGCACCCTGCACAATGGGACTGGTGATGCACTTGATCCCATCATTTGGCGGGGTCTGCTGCGGGGGGTGCCACGGGGGGTGCTGCGGGGGGTGCCGCAGGGGGTGCCACAAGGGGTGCCACAGGGGGTGCCGTGGGGCCCGCTGTGGGGTCAACCACAGGAGCAGGGTTAGGGGTGCATTGCATTATATTTTGATCTATCTATTCTCGCTGTGGTCATAGCATGCAGCATAATTATCCTTCATTTTGCCAGGAGTTTGGAGGCTGTGTCTGGGGGTGGTCTGCACCTACAGCCGTGTGACTCCCTGATGCTTCGGCAGGGGCTGGGATATCAAAACTGTGCAATATTTTCTGCAGAATCCAGGCATGTAGGGTTAAAAAGAAAGTGTGATTTGTTCATTTTTTGGCTGGCAGGGTAGGTGGGCTGACATCATGGGCTGCATCAGGTCCACTGTCAACTCATTGATTGTTTTGTCTGCTCATTCCATATACATGCCCATTGGTAAGCTGATCATGCTGTAGGCACAGTCTAATCTTACCCTGTGGATGATACCACACATTAATTACATACCTAATGTCACACTTCCTGTCTGGGACTCATTGAAGTTCATCTGTTCTGTGTTACTTTACAAGCAGTTTGCTTCAGTTGCAACATGAACAGATGTAATAGTGGATTTGACATGCCCTGAATTGATTCCTAGGTGGAATATGAGACAATGGATTCACCAGCAAGTTGTCTCACAATAGTCAGAGATTGGTAATATTTGCATTTCAAATTTCATATACAACACTCTGTGCACTCAGAGCTCGTATATTTGCAAGATAGACTGTAGAGACATAGATGGTTACTTTTACTACCTCTGGGGCTGCACACATCCTCGCCATGACCCACTGCCTGCACCCCCGCTGGCACCCCCTGTGGCACCCCCGCTGGCACCCCCGCTGGCACCCCTGCTGGCACCCCCGCCAGTCTAGCACCCCCCGCCGCACCGGTGCCTTGCTCCTGTGATTTTCTTATATGTAAGATTATGTAAACTGACAGCTCGGAACACGTCAAGTCACTAGCCAATCAGAACCTGTATAAACGTCGTACCTAAGTGTTTACTGCTCTTCTAACACTGTTCTTACAGTTATGCAGCTGAAAACCATCGGAATAAGGTCTCCATATGCTATTCTTGTTGAATATGTAGGTACTTCATATCCTTTGTCCACCTAAAAATCGAAACATGAAAACAGTTCACCATTGCTCAAGGTTCCTATGTAGACAATGGTTCAACATGGTTCACTTTGAGTATGGCAAAAAATATTTTTTCTACACACAAGCAATTCAATACAGCTGAATGATATACTCTTTGGCAGTGTCTGAAACAAATTCTGAGAGCCCTGGACCCTGGAACCATTCAAAAACTTGAAATGAGTCCGAAAAATAGGGTCTTGATAAACATGACATATGGGCTGGTTTGAAGAGACATGGGCCACCGGTCATGTTGAATATAGTATTTTACAATGTTTCGGTGCCCTACCTCTCATCACATGGCCTCATTTCTGACTAAGAAGCGCACATACACACTCAAGCTCATAAAATCAATTGTCACCCAGAAACAAGAGCAGTGAAGTTGTTTCACTGGGATTGGGTAAAGGTTACCTAGAAGTCACTTGGGTTGCAGTACAGAAGCTTTGGAAAGTGATTTTGTAGTTGATCCACATTTGGTAGGCTGGCAGATGCTTGTGCACCCCCACGGCACCCCCCGCGGCACCCCCTGCGGTTGACCCCCCCCAACCCCTGCAAGGATTTAATTGACAAATGTCCTGCTCAATCCATTGTAAGAGTCTACAGTATTATTGGATTCAGTAAAGGACCCAAATGCTATGTAGACAAGAAGTATGAAATCCGGAAATCAAGAATTATGACACCTCCATGGAATATGCTGCAAACGGAGAGGAAAATTTGAGCGCAGACAGACTACCTGAAGCAAACAGACAGAGAAAAGAAACATTAGCCATTTCTTGTTGATGATGTTGGTTGTCCCTGGAGCATGTACTTGGGAGATTTGCCTAATAAATCAAGTTGCGCATTTTTCAAATTTTTAGTTTGACCTGACAGCTTGAGCAGACCATGCCAAAATGAACCAAGTCATATATATCAGTGCCCCAAGCCAAGCCAAAAGATTTAGGTAATATTGCACAGTTTTGATATCCCAGCCCCTGCCGAAGCATCAGGGAGTCACACGGCTGTAGGTGCAGACCACCCCCAGACACAGCCTCCAAACTCCTGGCAAAATGAAGGATAATTATGCTGCATGCTATGACCACAGCGAGAATAGATAGATCAAAATATAATGCAATGCACCCCTAACCCTGCTCCTGTGGTTGACCCCACAGCGGGCCCCGCGGCACCCCCTGTGGCACCCCCTGTGGCACCCCCTGCGGCACCCCCCGCAGCACCCCCCGTGGCACCCCCCGCAGCAGACCCCGCCAAATGATGGGATCAAGTGCATCACCAGTCCCATTGTGCAGGGTGCATTTTGGGCTTTCCAAGCTCAAATTCATGCTTAAGTAGTGTATTTACCTATAGAAATGATACCAGGATGATTTGGGAAGGCTTCCATTTTTTGGGCGGAAAATCACGTGATTATGCGCCCATTGTCTGCCACAGCATGCAATGGATCAAGCAACACCTTCGAAATCATGCCGAATGGTGCACAAAAGGTGCCCCAAAAGTCACGTGATAATGCGCCCACTGCCCGCCATGGTGTGCGGGGGGACAGTAGCGCCCCCCGCCAACCCCCGCCAACCCCTGCTAGCCATCTTTGATAATTTTCATGCAGTGCATCACGTGATTTTTTTACCCCGCCATCAGCCGCCATCCCGCCCATTGGATGTGTCATGTGATTCATTTTTTTTTCGCGCCCACCTGCCCGCTCCCAATGATAAATCACATGATATGTACAGACCCCCCCCCCTGCACCCCCCTGCTGATCCCCGCATATGCCCCTGCCCCAAATGGACCAAATCCCCCCCGCGGGCCCCGCAGGGGGGTACCTGTTGGGTACCCTCAGAGCTACGTCTGAGGGTACCCAGTAGGACCCCCGCGGGGGTGCAACCGGGTGATGGCGGTGGTAACTGAGGTGCGCATATTGGTTTCGGACAGTGCTAATATGCTCCGGTTTGACTTTGATCTGCCAATTACTTTCCGGTCAGCAGTATTATGATCACATTGGATAAACGCACCTTGAAGTCAAGGATTGCATACTCCTCCGGAAACTCCATCATATGTTGGGGGACACCATGAGGGAGAATCTTGTTACAATCGTGTCGTTTTGCTGTCATGTTGATGTGATTGCGATATGCGTCCAACTCGGCCTGGAGCCACGGAATGAACACCCAGCGGAAGACAAGACTGCCGGGCAATAAATCAGATGTTTGTGTGGTGACAATGAATATGTACGCTTGCAGAAGAACACCTGGATCGTACCAGCCATTGTTCACACCGGTGTCCAGAATATCCTCGAAACCGGGGGTCTGCGCCGGTGCCATACCTTGGTCCCGAACACAAGCTTTACCACATTGCGGTCTTTCTTTGCTTCAGTCAACACATACACTACGAAAAGACGGGTGGTTTAGTATTCCTGTCAGATTACCAAGGTACGTTCTCGCTCCCGACTCCAAGATCTTAAGCTCACGCTCTCCAAGGCTCCGCAATGCTCCTGTCTAACCCTCAAATCATGACAACTCCATGAGCCATTCCACAGACTCCGCGCGTCGTGTTATATCAATTTTTGCACCCAGGGACCTACCTAAAGACGCAAATAAGCTCATGTTTGGTGGTGGCAACATTGGGAAGTTGTTCACGGCGTTCAGAGAGGAGCACAAGTGCTCGGATTATTGTCGGTTTTTTGGACTGAAGGCTCTGGTCTGAGTAGATGATCCTAATATCTGTACACTATCTTCTCTTCATCAGTGTGCTGATACATCGTACTCATTTTACATCTGGCTGCTCGAAACTGACAGTGCACGAGTCACATTGCTAGACGAAGCACAGTTTCCGGGGTCCCACATCCGACCATCAGCCATCAACGTCGCTTATTCTCGGTTATCAGCAGGGCTCTCCAGGCCTCCATAGTCATCCTACCAGTGAAATGCGCTAGTCCTAGTGAACGAAAAATGGCTTGTTCTCGTGGGGAGATGGATAGGGCTGTTTGCTCTCGTGTGTCGCACAGGTTGATAGTATCGATGAAGAATGTGCTGGTACCCGGAAATGTCCGGGCTGCATAAGCACGGTCACGTGCCTCCGTTCGTTACGTGAGTAGCGATCAACTCACGCGTCGTGCGGGACCACCTAATCATAGATTGTGAAGATGTAATCAGCGTATGGTTAATTGCTGGGTCGGGCTGTCAGTTGACACGGATAAACAGGGTTCGGCCAAGTTGATCTTCCTTGAACTCCCATCGGTGTTGGCTACTTTTGTGGAATGGATCGAATGAGATGATGAAGAGGACACAAGATATCGAGCGAAACAGTCAAAACACCGAATAGTTCTCCTGACAAAATCCGGTCTCTAGTGAATTCAGCGCATCGGGCGGTCCAACAGCGTGAGTGTTCCAAAGAGCGCACCCACAACCGGAATGTAGAGGCTGTACGAGCTGGCTGCGCATGAGCGATAGATGAATGTACCCACATGAAACGGGCGCGGCAAACGCACCCGCAGTCCGCAGAATGTCGGATCAGGGACATACGAGGATATGCACACCGCCACAATCTGACATGTGGCGCAGGACCGGGCTGTGCCGATCGGACGGGACGGGTATTAAAGAGACGCACGCAGGTCCATGTCCCTTCATTCAGCTCATTTCGACTTCGCCCTCCACCGTATTTCACTCCGTCTTCTCAACCACCCCTCTTCTTTTCCTTTTCACCCACCATGTACTTTGCCAAACTTGTTCTTTTCGCGCTTTCGAGCATCTCCGCCGCCCAGGCCGCACCGAATATCGCCTCGATTTTCGACTCGCTGACGTCTGATGTTGCGTCTCTTGCGACAGTCGTGGCCACCGATGTCGTCTCAGTCGCCACCGCGGTCGCCACTGATGCTGCCTCGATCGCTACTGTCGTGGCCACCGGAGCCCGTTCAATCGTGACCGTCCTTGCATCCGATGCTACGGGGATCTCTGAAGTCGTCGTCTGTGAGTCGACTCCGTTCGTCTGAGACCAATCGTGAATTATTAATGTACATCTCCCCTTCTAGCGGAAGCCGGCAAGGAGTTCACCGTTCTCACCTCTGCTGGTGGCCAAGCGATAACATTCGCTCAAACGGGTCTCCTGGGATCGGTCACGACGACATTCGCTGGGTCCACGTACACCGTCGCGACGGCGCTGCCGAGTGCAAGTGCGCCAAGCGCGTCTCCGAGCAGTTCAGCTCGTTCCCGTTCTGCATCACCCGCTACAACAATGGGGCTCATTATAGTACTTATCAGCATCTGTGTCGGCGCTTTCGTCGTCGTTTGATCGACACAATGGACTACCTAAATGTATCTTTTTATTCACGAAACTTAATCTTTAATGTCATTATGTGCGACTCTGATTACATGTACGTTTCATGGTGTCCTTCGCGCTCCTTTGTGTCTCTGTGGACTCTGAACTGCGGTATCTTTGACGGCTCATTCTCGAGTGGTGTATAGATTCCGTGGTTTCTGGCAGTACATCCACGTTCGTCAAGTAAACAAGGCATAAGGATCGAGATAGAACACACTCTAAACCCAAGAAGGAAGGGTTATCGTAAACGGGCTCCAATTTCCCCTCGCGCAATGAACCGCTGGATACCGGATTCAATCTATACTGAAGAAAATGCTCTGCCGCACCGCCTCGTTCGTCCACGCACCGATCACTAAGGCGGACGGCAGGGTCGCTATAGACAGGGCTTTCTGGAGAGATAGAGGCAATGCATTCAGAAAATCCCAGTAGAAGGCCTATTTTTTCCTCCATCGGGACTGGGAATAGGATAATCATGATGCGCAAGAGGAGATGGGCCCCCTTCTCCAAGAGTTTCCGTTGGATTTGAACATTGAACGCCGCTCTGGCGTCGAGTTTGCGATTATCTGAGTCCACAAAAATCGCTCTGTTAGGATGATTTCACACAATCACGAGTCAAAAGAACCATTTGTAGAAGGTCAGAACCGTAGATGTGCGAAGAGACTGTAAGTGCCGCTTTGACCTACGCGTCAGGGATCACTGATCAAACCATCCGATCACCGAGCTCTCTAAGTGAGCATTGACCATTGTAACATGAAGCAATGACACTGGCCCTCTTGAACGCTGCGGCCAGGAATCAAAAGCCATACGAGAGCCTTCCTTTGTTCGCAATGGGATTGCGCTCGGATCCTCTCCCCGCGCCATAAATCTCGCAGCCGTCTATGCCACCCTCCATTTCCGCTCTTGCAGTACCAACAGCAGCAGCGCTCGCGCCCTCTCAATGACAGTCCAGCCCCCCCGCCCCCCAAACGCATACCTGCTGTTCCGCCGACAAGAGCGCACTCTGCCGCAATACGAGGGCCAGACGGAGTGCCAGATCAGTCGCGCCACCGGCGCGGTCTGGCGCAGTATGCTCCCCGAGCAACGCGCGCCGTGGATCGCGCGCGCGAGGGAGGTGGCTATCCAGCATGCGCAGACCTTCCCGGGATACCGGTACATGCCTTCGACGAGGAAAAGGAGGAAGAGGAAGACGGCCGCGGGGCCACACCCTGCGTCCGAATCGTCTGGGTTTACCACCGAGGACGCACTTGCCACCTCTGAGTTGTGGTCCACTGCGGCTGCAGCCTCTATGATTACGGGCTCCCCTGTACTCAGTCCCGAACAGTGGGTGAGTTTCAACCTGCTGGGAATCGATCTCTAGTTCATACTATCACTTCCCAGATGGCATATCCCTCGCAGTCCCTCTATCATCCCTACCTCCAGCCCTCCATCGCCTTGTCAGATCCCTCAATTAGAGAGAACGAGCTCACACAGTTGAAGGCATGGGCAGCTCAAGAGCAGGAGGATGTCGATTTTAGCCGTTTCGCGTCACGGGATTCTACCACGGACGCGGATTCGCATGCCCAGTCCGAACTTCTCGATTTCAGATCGCTATGTGACTGGGATACGGATTATCTACATCATCAGGATGCTCTCGATGCAGGACTGCTGAGCTGCTCTGGATTGGACAGGGTGCAGGACCAAGCTTGATGATGACGTCTGCTCAGGGATCGTAATGCATTTGTTGCACATCGTCTGCGACCGAGTATGGTCGGTCTTTGAAATATGAATTCAAGTCCCAAAAAGCATTTGAAAGTATGACAGTAGCTCTATCTAGAGTGAGTTGGAGAACGAGAGGACAAGGGTCGGTTTGCGGGGCACGATCCTACGACGATAACTGTTCACTTGGTCTTTAGCGCAGAAAAGGGCTTCCGGTGTCAGCAGGCTGGCAAGTGATGTATATAGAGGTAACAGCGCGGAAGAAAGCAATACAATGGGCGACCAATGACGACGATGGAAGGAAAATCGATCAGCTACCGCGTTGCTCGAGGTCCTCCAATTTAGCCACTTGTCTGCGTGGGATAGTCAGGGTCGATCGCCGGGCGGGAACATGAGCAACGCACCTATCCCTGACAGCTTCCTGCCATCTCTGCAGCTTCGCGGTCTCATGGACCTGGAAGCCATATATCCGGGGCCTGTACCGCTCCGTTTTCATCGCAACACTGGCCGTGCTGATCCCCTCCGCGACACTCTCCGTCCCCGTCATCTCAGGGATCTCCTCGCGCACCCGGCGCCGCGTCTTCGTCTCCGAGGACGCACTCCCGTTGCTGGGCCCATCGAGCGGCGCGCCGGTTTTGGGAGGTATCAGCGAGGGGTACACGAGGAAGAGCAGGTGCGGAAACGTCGTGCCGAAATACGCCCCGTCGATCGAGCCGTGCCGCGACGATTTGGGCCCGTACAGGTCCTCGCACCGGCCGCAGTAGAGCTTGACAGACTTCTCGTACGGGACGTCGACCAGGCCGACGGGGAGGAGGGATTGGGAGAGGCAGAGCACGCGCGGACAGCGCCCGAAGTCGCCACGTTTGTACTTCTCGACCTGCGGCACCGTGTCGGTGTCACGGGGATAAGACTGAGACACATTTGCGCACCATTTTCGCGAGACCCCGGGCGGTGACTATCCATCGTGCGTGAATCAAGCCGTACAACAACCGCGCCTGCACATCCAGCGACCCGCGCAGCTCGTCCTGAACCTCGTCATCTGCCATGTCAAAGCGTCAGCACAAACTCAGTCGCGACCACAGCGCCGATTCGCACCCAGCTGATCTGTAATGAGATCTAATGCCTGCGTGTAGTTGGCGACCTCGTTGTTCAGGCCCGTGAGATTGAATCGGTCGAGAATAAAGTCCTCATCGACCTCGCAAAAGTACTCGTTCCCTTTGGAGGAAAGGAACCATGAAATCCACTACGGGGGTGCGCTTCAATAAGCGTGTCTGCACTCGAAACGCAAGATGAGGTACCGTGCTGTGAGCTGATGAGATTCGACACGCGGATAGGCAGCAGAGGCAAACCTGGAGTAGTCCGAGTCCGAGCCTGTGGATATGTCCTCCACTGCAAGTTGTCAGAGGGCGAGACTCGCTGTGAGGAAAGCGCACCCACTTGATCGCAGAAGGCAGGAGAGTGACGCTGGTAACGCACCTGTTACTAGGTGACACTAGCGCCCTTGGAGGACGGATCGTCGGAAGGGGTAATTACAGACATTTTCGGGACCATTGCGATTACATGTACAGCACAGCAAGATTAACAGAGCTACATATGTACAAGACAGATCACAGTTGGCTAAATGTAAGATGAAGATCGTGAGGTACGGTGAGTGCAAACGGCGAGAACGCGTTCTGGATTTTGTCCTCGTGTATTGACCCAGCGGGAAGTCTCCACTCATACTGGCGGAGCAGCGCAGCAGCAAGAACACGCTGCTCATACATGCCGAAGTTGCGCGCCGGGCATTGGCGAGGACCCAATGCAAAGGGAAGCCAGCTCTTGAGACCCTCTTTCTCGAAACGACCTGGTCGGAACGAGTGCGGGTTCTCCCAGTTATGTTCGTCGTGGTGAATAGCATAGATGTTGATCGTGAGTGAAGTTCCCGCAGGGATCCCGTAGCGGCCGAGCTGCCCGTCGGCACTGGACATGCGGGGGACGATGTATGAAATGGGCGTGTTGATGCGCAGGGCCTCGCGGATGCATGCGTTCAGAAACGGTAGCGAATTGGCGCCCAAGTTTTCTGCCGTGAGCTCGCCTTTGGAACCAATGACCGACAGGACCTCATCGCGGGCACGCTTCTGTATCTCGGGGTGGGTGGCCAGGAAGTAGAACAGGGTTGACATGGCGCCGGCACTTGTGTCCTAAGAAAGATAAGAGAAGGGACAAGTGATGGTACAGGAAACGTACATGGCCTGAGATGAAGAGCAGAATCATGTTGTCCCGAAGCTCCAGGTCGGTCATCTCTGGATCCTTGAGCATGTACGACATCATGTCATCTCCAGGTGAGTTCTGTTTGGCCCTGAGCAGCGCGACGAAGTGCTCGATCAAGGTGTCGATGCGCTTGATGAGAGCCCTACGCGGAACCAAACGCTCAAGGATTGGCGCGATCAAGTACAACGGCTCGGCGATCCCGCTCATTACACCGTTGTACTCCTTCACAAACATGCTGTGCTCGCGGATGGCCTCGAAATCATGTCCAAACACGGTAGTACCCATCGCGTCCACCGCAAAGCGCTGCGCAAAGTCGTCCCATTGGACGGTCTGCTCCCCATCTCCGAGCAAGTCCGCCACTTTGTCTGCCAAGAGCGAGAACTGCTCGACTGGCATCTTCAGGTTGATGGCATCATTGATAAGGCGGGACTGTTTTTTCCACTGCGTTGCATTCGACACGAGGATGTTTGACCGTCCGATGAGATGCCACAGGAGCGAGTCGTGGGGAGGCTTTTCCTTGGGATATCCGATGAGGTCATCGGACATTTGACGTGCGATCTGCGCAGAGCGTTCGCAATCAGTGAAAAAGGGCACGAGTCCCGAGCGCGCTCACCTGCTGGTCGAGTACATGAACCATCCATTTGCCGAGGGCCCAGACCAGCACGAGCCCTTCCCGGCGCTCATTCACAAACGGCATGATCAGTTTCCGAATGCGGACGTCCTCTGGCTCCATGGCGAGATAGCTCTTGAGCAGCGCGTAGATCGAAACGCGCGGCAGGTGGCGCAGAGGAGCTGGCACAACAAACACGCGCCATACGAAGAACCCGATCACGGCGGCGGCAAGAGCCCAGTGGAGAGACGCCATAGGTCAGGGAGAAAGAGGCGGGAATCAAGGAGATAGTCTATATGTAGTCGGTGCTTTATATGTCCAGGGGTAGCCGGATAACTCCAAGCGACGAAAGAGTTCGCGTCGCCTACTTCGAATGTTGCCTCGAGGTTCGGCCGTGACAGCATCAAAAGGGTCCCCCTCCACTGTCTTTTCTGTCACAGAGGCTAGACCAGCGTGCAGAGTGCGATTCCCACACAGACGGACGGCTGTGTGCAAACATTCCAAGGGTCAACTCGTCACCGAAAAATGAGCATGCCAGGTCTGTTAACGCCCACAACATCATGATTTCTGATCTGTGGTAAAGATGAAACGAGAGTTGTAGACAGATGGATTGAATGACTGACATTCCATATCAGATGATAACCTCCCCTTCTGAACAAAGGCCAGCACGTTGCTGCAGCGCTCCCCCATGTGTCCTGCGATGGGCGGAACTCGTCAAGCCACGTTTACAATCCGGATGCATCAATGATCTATTTGTGGTCAGACATCCAGTCGTAGCTGTCACAGGTTGCTTGCTGTAGGCGATATCAGACACCCATCGGATACATGCAGAACGGTGTGGCACATGCATATACGACGAAAACCTGAGATGGGAGTTCATTATTCCAGTCAGAATCCGGCTCAACTCGGGGATCCGGAACGATATATTTTTCATGCCGCTAGCCCAGCACGACAGCCACGATACCCGTGGAGAGATGACAGAAAGAACACGTCGAGAAGATCACACCACATACTTGTTGAGACGTGTATCTCGGAGATACTACTGCACACGGGTGCAATTCCCGTCGAAATTATCCGCTGGCACCATGAGATCTAACTGGGACTTGAGGGCGAGTACAGTTGATTATCAAAGCACTCGAGGAAAACAGAGTTTGAGAAATGAACGTTATGTGCGCAAGCTGGCCACTGGTATTACAAGTACTGAGGCCGCCATGTGGCAGGGAGTAAGATCGGCTGAGAAGAGAGATCAGTGGCAGTGCCTGTAATCAGGCGCATCAACCAAGCGAATGCAAGCACACCCGATGCACCGACCACGACCAACGCTCTCACATTCCGTTGCAACTCTTACACTCGCGAGCCCCAAATCTGAATCTACACGTATACACACATTCACCGCTCCGACACCTGGTGTTCTGCGAATCCTTCGCGCTGCTGAATCTTCTCTATTGTGCAAGCTGGAAATTTTGCGCGTGCGTCTGCCCTGCGGCCTGTGGCTCAGGGCGATCCGGACTTACCGTATACAGATAGGCCTATGATCGTGCGATATGGACCATCACACAGGTGCGGTCCTTGTGCCCTCTTTCGACGTCTTTATCTTCGTCCTGACTGCTGAGCGCTGTCATTTGCCATTTGCCCCCGGTACTTCCTGCGTTTTCGTTGCCCTCTGACTATAATTCAGAAACCTCGGAAAACTGGGACGAAGACTTCGAGTTTAACGTCCACAACCCTGCGTCCGGTTCCGCTTCAACCGACAATAACGAGACCATCCATGACACAACGACACCAGCGACACCAACACGGCCACGACATGCCCATCACGACTCTCAAGAGAGCACCGAGAACTGGGACGACTTTTACGAAGACGACGTTGACGAACCGGCATCGTCGTCGGCAGCCACAACTTCGCACGTCTCATCACCGGACACTGCGCCTTCAGAGGAAGGCCGCAAATCAGAGATCGCACGACCCCCTACACCCCCATCATCCTCCGAGTCCTCGACCCATTCCTCTGCTCGCACGCCACGCGCGAGCAAGAAACAGCGGCTGCGTTCTGGATCAGGCGCGACTACCCGACAGGCCCGGCACCGCTCCAGGTCGTCCTCGTTTTCCAACTCGCGCCCGAGCTGGGGCGAATCGAGTGAGGAAGAAGACGAGGAGCTTGGATTCACTGACGCAGCCGATGACGATCGGACTGTCACCGCACGCACCCGACGGGTGTTCTCGCGGACGATGCCGAAGAACCCGAGCCCCCCACCACCCGTGCCGCCGCTGCCCACTACAGCCGCGGCACCTCCCGTCTTTACGGCAGGATCGCCTTCCCGCGTGCTGTCGATGCTGGGGAACAAGGCACGATGGGGACGGAGGAAGAAGGGAAGCAGTATGAGTGTGGGCAGCCAGCAGGGTGTGTTTTCTCTCCCCTTCAGTGCGTTCGCATGCTTACGGCCAGACAGAGGCGGATATCGACATTATCCATGATATTTTTGCTCATGCCGAAGCGACACCACGTCCGTTGTCTGCTTCACTACTTGGCCGGTCGAGTTCTCAGTCCTCATCGCACACTGGGTCAATCATTCGACCGGCATTACCGCCGGAAACCCCACCCCCGTCAAAGAGAGCGAGCTTGTTCCACTCTCAGCCCGCGGTGGAGATCCAACCACCTTCTCCACCACAAACCTTCAAAGCAGCCACTGGGCTTGACATCGAAACCCCGAAACGAAAGGAACGGGACAGTTTCTCGCCGACGACATTCTCACTGGCGTCGACGACATCCCTGCCGTCCACGTCGCCCATCAAGACGACCAACACACCATTCACACTCAGTCCGCGTGCAATATCACCGACACAAAACGTGCCGCCACAGACGGCATCGTTGGGACGCTCGTCTGCTGTCGCTGCTGTGGTAGCGACTGGGACCATGCGGCGAAATTCACTCGGCGATCTCAAGATACCCATGAGGATCAGCCAGGCGCAGGATGCGGTACGGCGGGATCTGGAGATGGTCCGAGAATTTGCGAAGAATGTCGAAGGTGGGTGCGGGTTTTTGGCTCCCGTGCATGTCGCTCATCATGTATCAGACCTCAAAGCGTTGGAGGGAACGTATCTGACTCTCGTCACGCAACTCCAATCTTTGCTCGACGCGCACCTTTTGCGCCAAACTGCTGCTGCTCCCCCACCTCAATCGTCAGGAACCTCATTCTTCAAACGGCATCGCTCCAATACGTCGGTTTCGCTCCCGACTCCCGAGGGCCGCTGGAAAGCCCTTGCCGACGCGTTTGACACGATCAAGGAGCGGTACCGCGTATCGTGGGAATGCGCCGAACTGTTGATTGATTTGAGCGGTGTCGGGCCGACAAGCAGTGTTTCTGCGCCAACAGTGGCGGTGTCGTCCGCGTCCTCGTCATCGTCACCTGCACCGACTAAGTTACGTGCGCGAGCGATCACGCTTTCGGAAGACGCCAAGGCCCCGATCCCAAGCTCGGCGAGTCTGCCGATGACCAGTGCCCCGAGTCTGGCCTGGCGGGCGTCGACGACCGGACGCAACTCGAGCTCCGATCTAAGCTCGCGGCAGCTTGTGCTGCTCAAGGAGATGCTGAGCTCGTCGGCGGCGGATGACTCGTTCGCGACGGACGACGGAATGACCGAAACAGGGGGGACGGTGGTAAATCGGGACTGGCGGTGGGGCGCAGACGCGATGGGCAGCACGCTGACGCTGCCGTCGGAGGAGAGTGTGGAGGTGTTCCAGAATGGAGGGACGAAGCAGAAGAAGAGGAGGCGGATGAGCAGCAAGATGCGGATGAGCGGCTTCCGCGATCTGCTCAAGAGTCTCGCCAAGGGGAACGGGTCGTCGTCTTCAACGAGTGAGTCGACGGCTTCAATTCCCGGTCGACGACGCGCGAAAACGAGCGTCGGTCCCGAGTCAGCGTCGACGCTGTCGCTTTCGTCTGGCAGAGCCTCGCCGTTCGATGCCCTCGGACACGGCAAACCGCCGGGCAGCGCCGCAGCGGAACCCCGGAGACCCTCTTTGGCCTCGATTTTCCGGCTCGGGAGGAACAAGACGCCGCCGGTGGCTGCTCCCGCACCGGAGGACGAGGAAGAAGACTGGGACCGGATCTCGTCGGATGCCGAGCCTCCGGAGTTGACGACCGTGCGCGCCCGATCGCCGTACGGCATGCCCCCTGGCAGCTCGCACATATCCTTCGTGGCTGGCACGCGCGGCGGCGCGAGACTGCCGGACGTGACCGAGGATCCGGGCCGGCAGCCGAAGCACAGCGCCGCGACTGTGCGGTCGATACCACCGGATAATGCGCCGCCGCCGGGCGGCAAGCTGTCTCTGACGCCGGAGAACATCAAGCCTCTGCTCGAGAACTCGCGCGAGGTGTACGGGAAGCTGTGCACGTGCGTCGAGGAGGTGCGGCGGCTGGTTGAAGGCGGGGATCTACTGTAGTTGTGCATATCACTTTTTCTGGACTGACCACTTTGTAATTACACAGCATGTCTGTAGCGTATATACACCGTTCCGTATCTGATTCTTAATTTCTGTCCCTGATAACTTTCTTGAGGACAATTTCTCTTGTCTTCTACCAGCCAGCGAGGACAGGCATTCTACGAGTCCTCCCCTCCCGCCTCAAATTGTGAACATCAACAACCGTTCCATATCTGACTCTTAATTTAGGAGACTTTCTCTTGTCTTCCGCCGGCCAGCGAGGACAGACATTCTACGCATTCTCTCTTTCTCAAATTGTGAACGAAGACACGATCACACTTGTTCGTTCCATTCCTAGATTGCACAAACGACGCAAATACACCAAGACCTGTCAATGTGTACTCATGCTACAAGCTCCGGATACTCATACGTAGATAGACACCCCAACACACAAGGACAAAACGAGCTAGTCGTCTAGTCGAGCGACGCGCCGCGGCGGTCCATCATGGCCTCAACGAGGTCGCGGCGGAGGGCGCGGGCAGCGCGGGTGCCGACGGCCTTGTTCGCGGGCACCTTCGCGGCCTTGGCAGCCTTCGCGGCCTTGGCGGGTTTCGCAGCCTTGGCGGGCTTCGCGGCCTTGGCGCCCTTAGCGGCTTTGGCAGCTGCGGCGCGTCGTCAGTGCCTGCGTCTCTCTCTAGTCAGGGGAGACGGGGAACGTACCTTTGCCCTTTGCCTTCTTGGCGGCCTTGGCGGCGGCGGCAGCGTTTCCGGTAGCGGCGGTTCCGGCGGCGGCAGTTCCGGCGGCGGCGGTTCCAGCGGCGGCGGCATTACCAGCAGCAGCGGCAGCAGCACCCGCAGCAACAGCGGCACCACTGGCACCAGCGGCACCCGCAGCAGCGGGGGCGGCGGCAGCAGCGGCAGCTCCACCGGCGGCAGCAGCACCCTGGGACACAGCGACACATCCACCGAAGCCACCGAGCGTCTTGACCGACTATCGCAGGTGTTGTTAGATCAATTACCAAGATAGACACAGGGGGAGACTTACGACGAGGCAGAGGTTACCAGCCGCGCCACCAGTGCACTTGGTGCCGGCGGGGAGCTGGATCGCGACCGCGTCGGTCTCCGTCGTCGTCGGGGCCTGCGCGGCAGCATCAGCATGAGATATAACCCATCGGGCGGGCGTAGGCCCGGTATCTACGCACGGGGTTGCCGTCCTTGCTCACGGTGGCAGCGACGAACGCCGTGCCCTTGCCGGTGGGGTCGACCTGGGCCGTGAACGCCGTGGCGCCGTCCTTCCCACTATCCAAAAAAAAAGCGCGTCAGCGCGTGTGCATATCACATAGATCCACGAAGCCCCTTACGCGTTGAAGTTGGTGATCGAGAACGCGACGGTGCCGTCCGCGGCGGCGGCGACGGCAGTGGAGGTGTCGAGGGTCGCGGCGACGTTGGTCTTGCCGCACGGCGACGCAGTCGACGGGCGCTGCGCGTCACTGCGCGCGGGCGCGCCGGAGACGCCGAGCAGGGGGCTGTGCAGCTTGGTCAGCTACGGACGGAGGAGGCGCTTGGACTCGGGGACTGACGTGGGCGCGGCGTGCGCGGACACCTGGGAGACCAGCGCAAGCACCAGCGAGACGGAGAAGATCATCGATTTGCCGGCGAACATCTTGGTTTCTGGGCTGAAGAATACGAGTGGGGGATGGGGAGCGAGGGAAGACTTGAAGCAAGAAGGATCTGATGAAAGGATTGAAGGTAGGAACCTGTCCTGTTGCGTGCAAGGAATGAAACTGAAAGTGGGCGAGGAGGGAAACCTGACTCTCCCCGCAGACCCTCCGCGCCTTTTATGTGCGCGATCAGGTAGACGCTTCTCATGCGCGAGACCTTCCCTTGGCGGACAAATGAGATCAAGGGGGATCGGAAGCGATGTTGTTCCATAGTGACCGTTATCTCCATCTTCTTCTCAGGTTCTCCGTCCTGTGCACCGCTGGGGTACCACACGGAGCACACAGACACGGGTCCGGGGGTGGCGGTGGCCAGTCCGAGATGGGTGGAGGTTCCCGCCAGTGCTGCGACGCACTCCCCCGCGCCTCGCCAGCGTCCAGAACGGCCTGCGAAACGCCCTCCGGGGTCGCCCGGCAATCAATGTCGCCCGGCTTGAACTTTGAAGTTTGGATGGAGGTTCGATCGGGCCCGCTGCATCCTATTGGCCAGCAGACGAGGAGAGGTGGCGAGTCTGGCGACACGGTCGCTAGGCGACGGCGATGTTACCCATCACGCGCTGCCGCATCACACGGCTAGTATTATGTTTCGCTTCATGTGAGCGCAATATGAACAGATACGAACTTACGAACCCCACTCCACGGACTTCAACTCCGACATTTATTTCGAGCTGGCCGCTGTGGCGGCGGGGAACAGCGTGTCGGCCAAATCCGGTGACCGCGGCTGTGCAAAAAAGAGCTGCATCATTGCACAACAGCCCATGCCGTCACGTGCTCGCGGCTGTCGTCAGCCAATCATATCGCGCCATTGTATGGAGGTGGATGCAAGTGCAGTGGTCTCGTATGTACGTTGCCCCCCTGACCCCGGCCTCACCAGGAATAGGCAACCATGGTAAAGTCGACTTTATGGCATTCGAAGGCAGCCGCGTGTCAGAGTCGACTGATTCTGGCCTCATGTCATGCGATATCGATAAAACTCGAGGTTCTATGTTATTCAAAGCTGGGGGCACCTCTGTGTCCAACACATGGCGCCAACATCCATCCGTCCACGGTTTCCACTGTCGGATGTGGATGACATTTCCTGTTGCCCAGCCGTCAACTGCGGGATCACAATCGTGCCCTGCGACAGAAACAGAAGCGCGACTCTCGCTGGATTTGTGCCACCCGTCGCAGAGACAGATTCATAGCCAATTGTCTGACTACATACATACATCAAGTTCCATAAAAAACGTCTATTTCATTATCCCACACGGGCCGGGCACGATATGTCATATATCTTCGCACCAACAGATGGCTGTCCTATCCATCCTTTCACGCAGCAGTAGACACTACGTCATACTGATCGACCAAGTTGCTGAGCATCTCGCCGACGCTGAACGCATCCGACCAGTACACGACGGGGATGTCCAGCCCCCAGCGGTCCTCGACCTGCTTGCGCAGCTTCGCGAACCCGATCGAGTCGACGCCGTGCACGGTCAACGGCTCTGATTCGTCTGTGTCCCGATGTCAGTTGTACATAAAGAGGCAGAGGAAGTAGAAGGGGCGCGCACCGAGCTCTTCGTCAGGTCGCAGCTCGAGCGTCGCTCTGAGACACGCGACCAGGGCCGCACGCAAGTCCTCCTTCGTCAGCGATCCCACAGCCTCGGCCACGGGATCCGCATTTTCTTCTTCTTCGGCCGGCAGGATCTCGCCATTTGTCTTCGCAGCAGGCGCAGCGCCGTGCGCGAAGCGAGAGGGTATGAACGTCGGGTAACAGCGCGTGCGCTCAAAGGGGTACGTCGGGATCCGCGTCTTCTCGAGCGTCGCCGCACCCGGGCGCTGGGCGTACAGCCGGGCGAAATCCGGCGTGACCTTGTGCTGCTCGTACAGCGCACCCAGCGCGCCCAGCAGCGCGTGCTCCTGGTCCGCGCCCTTCTTCGCGCCGACAGCAAGCGTCCGCGTCGCACTGAGCCCGTTCAGCAAAAGCAGCGACCACGCCACCGCCTGCGGGCCGACATCCACGACGGCCCGGATGCCCGCCGCGTCCTGCTGCATCCTCGCCGCCGTCTGCGCGAACAGCACCGGGTTTCGCGCGTGCGCCACCTGCCAAATCACCTCCCATCAGTTCTATCTATACACGGAACGTCTGGAGCGCAGACACATACCCAATGCTCCGGATCCAGTGTCGCGCCTTTGGGCAGCACGTCCCCGCGCACGGTCGAGTACAGCGGCATCTTCAGCGGCGCAAACGACGCGCGGTTGGCCGCGCACCACGCCCGCAGCCCGGGGACCGCGGCGTCGACGCACGGCGAGTGGAAGCCCTGGTCGACCTGCAGCCGCGTCGCCTTGATGTTCCGCGCCTTCGCGGCCCGCACGGCATCGTCGAGCTCGGCCGACGCGCCGGACAGACAGATGCTCTGCGGGCCGTTGTAGACCGACACCGACACCGACGCGCCGAGTGTGAGCTTCGATGCGACGGCAGGGGTGCAGGCGAGTGCCGCCATGCCGCTCGGTTGGGAGGCGCATGGTTTCAGAAGCCTGGCGCGCGTGACGACCAAATCGAGCGCCGTTTCGAACGGGAGTGCTCCCGCGATAGCTGGGAATTCGGTTCAGTCGTTGGGCCCAATGACGCCGGACACTGATTGAAAGCACACCTGCAGCCGTGATCTCGCCCAGACTGTGCCCAACGACCGCCTTCGGCTCCACACCCAGCTCGCTCAACCACCGACACATCGCATACTGGTACACAAATATGCAGATCTGATCCACCTCGCTGTGCACCTCCCCCGCAGCACCCTCCTCCTTCACCGGCGGCATCTCGTCATGTCCGAGGAGAATGTCATCCACAGGGAACCCACTCAGTTCCCGCGCCATGCGCGCACAGCCCCCGACGAGCTCCCCGAACCGCGCATACCCCCGCGCCAGCTGCGCCGCCATCGCCGGGAACTGCGTGCCCTGCCCCGAAAACGCAAACACCAGCGGCCCGGTGCGCGCCGGCCGCGATCCGCCAGCACCACTGGCAGCGCCGCCACCCGCCTGCGCGAGGCGCGTCTCGAGCTGCGCGATGAGGTCGACGATATCGGCTGCGACGCACGCGACGCGGTGCTTGTAGTGCTCGCGCGCGACGCACGCCGTGTAGCAGATGCGCGGGAAGAGGGCCGGGTCGGCGTGCCGCAGGAAGGCCAGGTAGAGCTCGATGTAGGCGGCGAGCGCGCGCGGGGTTTTGGCGCTGAGGACGAAGAGCATCGGCTGCTGGCCGGCCGTGTCCTGAGCGACCGCAGGCGTAGGTTGGGGTACCTCGCTCTCGAGGACAATGTCGGCTAGGGTACCTGCGAATCCGTACGACCTGTGCACTTGTGCGTCAGTGTGTGATATGGCACTCTCTGAGATCCCACATACATCACCACGGCCTTGCACGGCACATCAGCGCGCAGCTCGATGTGCTTTGTGGGAAAGTGCAGCGGAACGACACTCGCGTCGAGCGCCGGGTTCACATTATCCTCAGTCAGATATGCCAGTCTCGGCACGATGCGCCTCTCGAACGACATCAGCGCGGAGAGGATCCCGACGAGACCCGCAGACGGCTCGGTGTGGCCGATGGTGCTCTTGGACGCGCTGACCACAAGAGGGTTGGCACGTTTCTTGGACGAGACAAAGCTGTCGTTGATGCCCTGCACTTCGCACAGATCGCCTAGTGTGGTGCCTGTGGTACTCGTGAGCTTTGCTGAGATGAAGACGACGACGATCTAGCTTACCGGTCCCATGCGCTTCGATGAAGCTGGTAGAACTTTAGTAAATGTCAAGCCCTCGCCCATCTCGCCACTCACTCAATCTCGGACGGGTCCAGCCTCGCTCTCCGCAGCACCGCCCGATGAGCAGCCGCCTGGGACCTGACATTCGGCGCAGCGAGTCCCTGGGAGCGTCCATTATGCCCGATCTCCGTCGCCCTGATCGTAGCCAGTATCCGATCGCCGTCGCGCACAGCGGCCGACCGCGTCTTCAGCACGAAGCCCACCGCGCCCTCCGACGGCGCGTATCTGCGTGTCACACATGAGTGGCCGCCGCGGATATCGGCTGGGGACAGTGGCCGGACTCACCCGTCGGCATCTGATGTGAAGGATGCGCACCGGCCGTTGGGGGAGGCCATGCCTTGCGCGGTCAGGAACCTGTTGTGAGGATTGGGAAAAGTACTGGAGGCGAGGCAAGCAGGGTGAGTCACATGAAGGATCCGGGCCAGCAGTGTGTGTTGCTCGAGCACACGATCGCCGTCTCTGCGGCGCCCGATTGAAGATAGGTGACAGCTGCGCGAGATTGAGTTTACAGACATAAAGAATAGCGAGCCACGGACCCTGGTCGATGCAGACGATGCCGCCGCTGCAGGCCGTGTCGACGGTGATCGACGGCCCGTGGAGATCTAGCAGACTGAGGCACGTCAGATAAGATTACATTGATTGATAAGATGAGATGCAGACTAATTGATGCGGCCGCTGGCGGTGCTCGGCGCCCTTCCAGTCCCATAGAAGCGCGTGTAAGCTGGGAGCCATTGAGCCTGAGACGCAAAAACCAAGGGTCCGCATAAACCGCACCGTCATAGCCCTGCCCCGCATGCAGCAAAGTCTCGAATCCATCGTCTTTCACAGCGACGAACACACCCATGCGCGAGCCCTTGACAGCGCGGAACGGAATGTTCGCGTCCTCCAGCGCCTCATACGCGACTTCGAGCGCCAGACGCATCGTCGGCGACAGCGAATACGCCTCGCTCGCCGTCATGCCGAAAAAGCCGTAGTCGAAGCGCGCGACGTCCACCAGGCCGGCCCTGCCGAAGTGGATGTCCTTCGGGTAGAAGCTCGCGTGGTCCCAGCGGTCGGCGGGGATGTCCTTGATGATCGACGCGGACTCGCCCGTGAGGACATCCCACAGCGCGGCGTCGTCGTTCACGCCGTCCGGCAGCCGGAAGGCCTTGCCCACGATCACGATTTCGTCGGTGCGGGGGGTGCCGGGGGACGAAGCCGCGGGGTCGCTGGCGGCGGATGTGATCGAGGAGGGCGCGGAGGATAGCCTTTCTCGGACGCTACTCGTGAGCGAGGGCACGTCAAAGTGTATGTAACAGATGTTCGTGGGCAGCACAGCCCGGCCGTCCAGAAACTTGTTTAGTTCGCTTGCGATCTTGACGGCGAGAAGCGAGGTCATCCCGAGCTGGATCGTGCCGTCATTATCATGTCATGGGCAGCCGTAAGCGAGGGAGAATCGAGGGCCCTCTCACCTCAGCAAACGACAGCGTCGACAGAAGCTCCTCGTCGGAAATGCCGAGCAAGTTGCCGACGATACGAACTACAGCAGCATCCACTGTTGATCCCCAGTCAGTCAGCCTCAGATTCTGCATACAGCGACAACACGCGAGGTGCATCGTACCATCCGCCAAGTCACCCAGCCCGACTTTCTCGGGCCGCAGCATCTGCTCAAACTCCGCACCGAACGTGTCTTCCAGTTTTTTGCGGAAGATGTCGCCCTTCTTCGTCTTCGGAATCTTCCGCATCCCGTCCAGAACCAGGATCGAAGACGCTGCGATCCGAAGCGGCGGAGGCAGATCGCGGTTGAGGGGCGCGAGGACGCGCGCAAGCTGCGCGCGGATGGAGGCCGTGTGCGCCAGATCCGGGGCGGCGAGCTCGATGATGGCGAGGATGCTCGTCGAGGCGCTGCTGAGGAACGCATCGCCGACGATGCAGGCGTTGGCGATCAGCGGGGACGCGCGCAGACTCTCCTCGAGGGGCCGAGGATCAAGGTACTCGCCGCTGACCATCTAGAATCGGGTTGGTCAGTCCGCGCAAAAGCCAGAACCGGACGCTGGAACCAGACCTGAATGAAGTCTGTGATCCTTCCTAGCCACGTAAAGCGCCCGTCCGGCTGGGTCTGGCGATATCGGTCTCCCGTTCTGAATGTGACCCAGCCATCACTATCCACGGAATGCGCTCCGTCGTCGTAACCGACATATCCGGGCGCGATGAGTTTACTTTTCACGACAAGTTCGCCCTCGTCTAGCGAGCAAGGTTCAGCAATGAGGGACAAACGTGCGTGTAAAAACCCACCGGGAACGTCCGTGTCACTCGAGATCGAGAAGGACGCATCACCGAGTAGGCCTTCCGGTAGAAACCCGCGTCTAGATTCGCTCGCGAGGCCGACAAACACGGCCCCGCCAGTCTCGGTCATCCCGATTCCCGTGAAGATGCGGATGTCGTTGCGCTCGGCCCAGTCGACCGTCGCGTCGTCCAGTGCCGCCCCGCCGCACTCGAGCATGATCGTCTTCTGCAGCGCCTCGAGTAGCAGTGCGCGCGCGGGGTGGCTGCTCTGGCACGCGGCTTTGAGGTTCGCCAGGACAAATGGGACGCAGGCGAACGCCGCGACGCGCCGCGTGACGAGCGCGTCGATGATCGAAGTCGTCAGATCGACGGGGGTGGTGGTAGGAAGCTGCGGGTAGGATGAAGGGATGGTCGCAAAGACATAGCAGCCCGCGTTGAGCAGTGTCGCTGTCCCGATATCCTACCCGGCTGTCAGCAACAGTGCTGAAATCATAAAGAACGAGGGGACGCGCCTGCATATAGGCGAGAACGTGAGACCAGGGTGCCCAGCCGAGGATCCGGATAGCGTCGAGATTCTTTCCGGGTTGCACTCGGCGCCACCAAGCGAGTTTGGATTGACACCCCCGCAGGACGAGTGTGTGCGTCAGCGGGACCGCCTTGGATGTATCAGCCCTGATACTGCAAGGAAGACAAAGACCCACCTTGAGGTTTTTGGTCGAGGACGCTGACGATGTGAAGAGATACAGACACGCATGGTCGGCACTGGGAGGCGCGTAGTGCAATGGTGCCGCGTGCAACGGCGCCGCATGCAGTGAGTACTTGTCGAACAAAGCTTGCATGGAATTCTCCTTGTGCCCAAAGACCACGATACGTGTGTCGAAGGCTGCACCAGGGCACATCAGCATCGGTCGCTCGCGCAAAGGTCCAACACCACCGCTCACCCTTCGCGAGAGATATGTTGGATGTGGCGGAGGCGGGGAGGTAGAGACACGTCGGCTTCACAATGTTCATCATCCCCGTGAGCATGGCAAAGGGGACATGCGCGTCGATGGGGATGAACGTTCCCCCGAGCTTCCAGACTGCGAATAGCAGCGCGAACACAAATGGGTGGTTCTCGCTGACGACAGCAACCTTGGGCGCCAGACCGAAGGGCGCGAGCTCCCTCGCTATGCCATCGGACACCGCGTCCAAGGCCGCGTATGTCCAAATGTCCGCGCCGCACTCCAGCACGCGACGCGCCGCGGTGTGTGGGTCTCGCGCGGCGTTGACGAACACGTCAAGCAGCGAAGCCGGAGAGTCCAGTTTAGGATAGGGAGAAGAGGCGGACATATCTGGGATGCATGTTGTCGTTCTGCCATGGTTTTAATAGGCTCGTAGATGCTGCCCAGCGCCCAATGCAATCTGGAGATCCACTGGTACCGGCCGACCAAGACCAGTGGCTGTGGTGACGGATTGATGAAGAACGGAAGTAGGCTCTTGCCGTTTACAGCGACAACCGATCTGGACGCGATCTGAGGCCTCTACATTTCTTCCCTTCTAGGACTGCTTTCGTTGTCCCTTCCGCGGGCCCCGCTTTTTCTATTCATCGTTCGCACCAGTGGATGAAATAAACCTTAGCTTCGGAAGGAAGTGGTGCCACGCCGCCTAGTACCTATGCACAACACCGCGCTGCTTCTGCGGCCGAGCTATTCTGCCACCGACTGACACACCAATGGGTGTTCTACAAGCTATCAGCTCGACCCATTTGGGTCGCTAGTTATCTGACTCGCTCGATGAATCTCGGGTTGGGAGGCGGAAATGCGTTTCATTCCCTCAACCGAATTCAGTCCGCGGGCGGCCCCTTTTTAATCAGCTTCCAATCTTTTTCTCCTTACACACACCATGGACCCAATCACCATGGGCGGCGGCATCCTCGCCATCCTCCTCAGCGCCGGCGTCGTCTACTCGCTCGTCACGTACTTCCGCGACCCGTACGGACTGCGCAGGTTTCCGGGCCCGTTTCTCGCCAAGTTCTCGTACGCGTGGGTCTTGTGTGTAGGTCTCACCCGCCGGCGAGCGACCATCATCCATGAGATGCACAAGCGATACGGTATCTTGTCCATTCCAGAATGCTTGAGTGACGCTGACATCGCGCAGGGCCCATCGTCCGCGTCTCGCCGCACGAGCTGTCCTTCAGCGATCCCGCCGCCTACGCGATCGTCCACTCGTTCAACACGCGGCTCCCCAAGTCGTCCTTCTACCAGGCGTTCGCGACCATCGGGCTCACGAACGTCTTCACGTCGCAGTCCAAATCCGAGCACGGCCAGAAGCGCCGGCTGCTCCACCCCCTCTTCACGGCGCAGGTCTCGCGCGAATTCGCCCCCAAGACCGCCGAGCTGATGAACACCCTCCTCGGACAATGGGAGACGCGTTATACGTCAAATGACGCGGAATATACCTGGTTTGATTGCGTTCCGTGTCAGTGCTCTCGATCATCACCAGGGATCCCAATTCATTCAGTCACAGGGGTTACTCTGCTCTCATTCGATCAGGTCTCGTCGTTTGTCTTCGGCGACGGGTTCGGCATGGTCGGCTCGTCGTCGGACGACGTGCGGGTCTCCGCCGACTGGCGCGCCGCGCTGTACAACACGCAGACCGCAGCGAGCAAGGAGTCGCAGGCCGAAGACGCGTCGCTGACGGATCTCGTGACCGATCGCGAGGCGTACAACTACCTCGCGGGGCTCGCCCCCGCGTGGCTCAAGTCGTTCGCGCGCAAGGTGCTGTGGAAGCAAGTGCGCTCGTCCCTGGTGTTCTCGGGTTTCGTTGCCCAGAGGGTCTACGCCCGGCTGGGAGCAGCCATCTCGGATCCGGAGGAGCCGACTGACCTCGTGGGCCGGTTCCTGAAACGGACGCAGTCCCAGGTGCGTTGCGTTGCCCGCCCGAGACCTGGACGTTTCATCAACCGATGTTTCTTTGCAGAAGGAGACGTTCCGCGCGGAGGCCCTTATCGCTGAACTGATTACCATCGTCGTGGCCGGCTCTGACACGTCTCGGAAGTGCGTGTCTGTTACTGGATCGTGCTCGGTTCGCTGACCCAGAGACACGACAGCACGCTCATTGCAGCTATCTACTACCTCGCGCAGCACCCGAATCTCCAACGTCAGCTGCATGAGGAACTTGACGCGCGACTTGGACCCGAGTACGACCCGCTGGACGTGGAGAGTCTTCCATTCCTTGGTGCTGTCCTCAACGAGGCTCTGCGGATGCACTCTCCCGTCGGCATCGGCCTGCCACGCACCGTGACGGAGCCTGGTCTCACGGTCTGTGGCGAGTTTATCGCTGCCGGCACGACTGTCGGGGTGCCGATCTACACGATCCACCGCGACCACGGCATCTGGGGCGCTGATGCGAGCGAATTTCGTCCTGATCGGTGGCTGGAGGCAGAGGAAGTCACCGCCAAATACTCCGATGCATTCAAACCGTTCTCGGATGGCCCCGCGTGAGTTCCACAGAACATTGATTCTACGTATGCCGTGGCTAAATTGGGTGAATCTAGCGGATGCATCGGCAAGACTCTGGCGCTGCTGCAGCTGCGGGTGATGATCGCTGCTGTCTTTACCCAATTCGAAGTCGTTTTGGAGGATCCGCGGTCTGAGGTGATTGTGCGAGTCGTGCCATGCTGCGTCCGGGTGCTAACACGTCCGTCGATAGCTCAAGACAGAAGACTGGTTTGTCAGACGTGTCACAGAGTGTCGGATCGGTGTTCGTCGTCGCAGCGCTCCAGCGTCGCTCAAAAAAGCATGAAACAACGCGTCTGCTTCTTGTCGTTCATCAAAAATTTCCTGAAACTATGTAGATATCATCATTACAGGATCGAAATGGAAGTTGCCGCTGCAGTTCAATGTATCTCTGTAGTGTGAATGAATCTAAACTCATTGGGCGAGGAGTGCAAATCATCGCGAGAGCAGCGGGAAGTTCCGCGCCGGCAACTTAATGCTGTTTCGTGCCTCTTCTTCTTCTTGTTTATCAAAGCTTCCACAGACTGTTCATGTGGAACCAGGGCATCAAAATGGAAGAGGCTGCCACACACTGGCTGCATATTTATATATGTCTTATATGATCTCATATAGACGACCGAGGCAAATCATGGCTTCTCCCAGAGCCAGTGCAGCCATTCCAATTCACCGGAGCTTAGTTGACGTGGCAAATGTGCTAGTGCGTGGTTCACATCAAAACTGACATATCTGTGCGCACTTTGCCGGAAACCGGTTAGACTACATACATATGTACAGTATGTTGATTGAGATTCAACATCGGACACGCGAGACGGGAATTCGGGCAGGAGCTACCTAGGTGGTGCTCTTCATTCCCCCTTTTCGTGCAGCGGCAGCCAGTCGTTCGTGAGCAGATGGGTGGAGCTCTCCGGTTGGAGTTAACCGACGGCTCCCATTGTCTGGCGGCGAAAGTAGGAGACATATGAGGGAGGCCGGGGCCTGATACATTCTCTGGAGACATACTAATTCACATATCGAATTACGTGTCGAATGGGTTTATCCCTGGGATCTATCCACAGCTCCCGCCAAGACCTTCTGTGCCTCAGCCTGGACATCGTATCCCATGACCCAGTCGCGCATCTCCTGCGCTAAGAAAGACAAGACAAGCCAAGTCAGCCACAGGATCGGCACCGCAGATGAAACGCATCTGGCTGCTTACAGCGAAGATACAGGCCCCGTTTCGCGGGAATGTGCTGCTGCTCGTAGGATTCAGTCGCGACAAACTCGGCCCGGGGCTTGACGAGGCCCTGCCAGAGAGCGAGGCGATCCGGGATCTCATCGGGAGTCGTCCCCAGCGGGAGGAGTGCTCCAAGCGCGACCGCGTCCTGGAGCCCCATCCCGAAACCCTGGCCCAGCGCTGCGAGCGGCGTGAGCACAAGTCCATACGTTGGTAAGCACACGCCAAATGAACGCGACACACTGGGGAGTGATGCGTGCGCAGCATCGCCCATGATGCACACCCGGCGGTTGACCCAGGTCTCCAAGCGGGGCACTACTCGCATCTGCCACACATGCACATCATTCGCGAGCTCCAACAACCGTTTGAACCGCGGATGGTAGTCGCCAAAGAACTGGAGCAGCTCCGATTGGGTTACGGGTGCATTCCAGGCTGCGGGACACATCAGCATGATCGTGGTGTGCAGCGACGAGCCACGACGCCCGAATAAAGCTGCGACTCACGCACTGCATCTTGATCGCGGAGATCCTCGTGGACTCCGAGTACATTTATCAGTGTACCGCCACGGCAGGCGTAGATGATGATCGTCCGGTGGTCGACGTGCGGTGGCGCAGGGTTCATTGGCGCAGATATCAGCCGGGCGCCGAGTGGTGGGATCTTCACAATCCAGTCCAATTCCGGATAGGGCTCTAACGCAGTGCTCTCTGTGAGCCAGCGGAAACCGGCCGTCTTGGAGGGCGGGATGACGATGTCCTCGCCCACGACGAAAGATCGGATGGTAGACTGCCGTACTGTATGTCTGAGCAGCGCTCCACAAAAACGTTTGTTTCGCTCACATGGATCCCGTCTGCTCCAATGATCAGATCTGCGTGGTGAATATCCCCGTTGCTCAGCGTCACGGTGCATTTCTCGACATCGCACGAGCTGACTCGGTGATCCAGGCGCAGCTCGGCTGGGGGACCAATGTTCCCCTCCGCACTGAGAGCAACCCGACGAAGCTCGTTGTGCAAATCGACGCGGTGCACCATGATCCAGGGCTGAGTGTGGTGTGGTATTCAGTGAAACCGAAGCCAATGATGAAGCAGAAATCCACTGACAAGGCCGTAGCTTGCTTCGTAGTTGGTCTGGTCGCTGCGCATACCAGCACTTCCGTCAAAAGCGACGGCTGTGAACTACCAGAAGATGAGCGATTTGAAAAGTAGCTGGCATCGTACAAACACAGAGATTCTCCACCGGGTCCAGGTTCTCAATCACACATCCCAAGCCAATCAGACCACGGACAGTGTTGGGTGGAATAGCCAGGCCAGCTCCTAACTCATTCTTGAAGCTGGAAGTCTCATAGATCTAGTAGATCTGATAAGTCATAGGAGACAGAGGCGAGATCATGCAGGACATACAGTCACACGATGACCTTGTCGGCGTAGAGCAGCTGCGGCCGCGAAACCAACCAGGCCAGCACCGACAACAACAATTTCGAGAACGTTATCGGGGGCGTTCATGCTGAAATGATGGATATCGAGAGAGGACGGGTCCCTAAAGAATGCTCCCTTGCTACAACTGAAATGGAGAACATGATCGAATCTGAAGTCCCAAAAAGGTTTGACGCAGATCCCAATTTACGGCTCTGATTGTGTTGGCCGAATTACACCCGGGCCTACAACCTTTTAAGGGACTGGGGAATGAGAGCATGCACACATAGTTTCATGGCTTATCAGCTCACTTGGATTCAGACTCTCGTGCTGGGTGCCCTCGTGGCAGCGGCAGCAGCGTTCCCCTTCGTCAAGAAAGACTACGAGACATTCCTGAAGGGCGGCCCGTCCTATGCGCCCCAGAACGTTCGCGGATACATCATCGTGCTCGTGCTCGCGCTCTTCCGCCAGGAGCAGCTCGGGGTTGAGATTTACGACCGCATGCCCGAGAAACGTCGCTGGCTCGCGGATCTCCCTCAGCGCGAGGGCCCCCGCCCCAAAACCACCAGCCACATCATCCAGCGGCAGGTGCGGCCCACCACAGATACAGAAAACGTCTTCCCCATCTGACCCACCCACCCACCCACAGCTCAGCCAGCACACGGACCCCGCATTCGGCGCCGCGTGCCTCAAAGACACCGTCATCCCGCGCGTCCAGGCGCGGCACGCAGCCAACACGCACATCGCGCGCTCAACGTTCGAGTTCCACGCGGCCGCGATCTTCCTGAACGCGGACGTGCCGCTGCCCGAGGGCCTCCCCGCGAGCGAGACGGTGCGGCGGACCAAGGGCGAGATCGCGCACATGCACGACTACCACGACTTCACGCTGCACCTCGCGCTCGCGGCGGCGGATGGGAGGGAGGTGGTCGGCAAGGGATGGGGGCAGCGCCATCCCCTCGCGGGACCCGGCGTGCCCGGTCCGCCGAACGAGTGGACCTTCGTGTATGCGCCGAGGAACGAAGAGGAGATGGGCGTGATCGAGCAGATCGTAGAGGCGGCGATTGGGTACATGTCGAACGCGCCTGCGCTGGAATGAGCGAGTGCGTTCAGTTTGAGGGAAATCTGACAATTCTCACGCATCGCAAGCCCATGTCAATTTCGTGTACTCAAAGTCTGCGAGTTTGGGTGAACAAGATGGAAGACTTCGTCCGTCAGCATTGAGACGCGAGCGAACTTTCCATGTCTCATGGTGCCCAGTTCGATCTCCTTGATAGTGTGGCGGAAGACCAGATGGACGCGTGCTTTCTGTGAATGAGCGAAAGTAGCAGCAGTTGCTAGCACCGGCAATCACACCCGAGCGTGATCGACATCCTCACGTGCATGAAAACGCACGGACCATCTGAAAAACGTATATAGCCCAGCTTCCATCATCAATGATTCTTCAGATACATACTCATCAGGATCTTTTTATAGAAACTGACCGAGTCTCGCATTTTTACAAATGCCGCATCCTTCAAATCCACTCGATGACTTTCGCGCTCGCTCGTTCGACTGAGAACATGGCTCTTTCGCAGGGCCTCGATGACGTTTTGGCTCGCTTTTGGACTGTCCGCAAGGACTGTTCAGAGCGAGCCTGCGAGTCGAGCGTTTGTCTGATGGATTCTCTTCGGATGTTGGCATGTAGATACTTCTAATTTGTCTAATAAATATCTTGTCATGTGTCTTCCTTTACTGCTCTCAATGAATGCTTATGTCGCTTCATTTGTAATCAGCGACGACCGTTCGTGTGTTCTGTCTTTCTGGCGCTGCGCACGGAATGGCTGACATTCCAGAATGAGCTTGGAGGTAATGTCACATGTGAGGTAGTTCTGTTTTTGTTGTTTGTCCAAGCATTTCTTCATGGCCAGTCTGTTGAATTGTAGGCACCACCCCCGACTAGAAACATGAGTCGGTTGGTATATGACAAGTACTGGGTCACGTGATCGGTGACCTCCGGCGTCATCCTCGGAAATCAAGAACTGATTGACATTCCGCAGCCACTAACCGATGGCGTCGAGACTCGATTATCGATGCGAGATTCGGACGCAGGCATGGAAAGCCCAACACGATTGCAACTGGTGACTCAAACCCGACAGTTGGGGCTCATATTTTCAACCAGCCGGTCCTCGACTGACATTAAAATACCACGTTATCGCAAGGAATATTCGACTTACGCACCTATAATTACAATGTCATGAGTCATGCGGTTGAGTAGTAGGTGGGTACATAAGTACTTCCACTTCAGCTGCTATCGCATCTCCAGACCATCACCGCCCACCTTCCCCACTCCTTGTCCAATCCCACAACACACGCGTACGATGGCGACTATCTCATTTGCAGACGGCAACGCGATCCCTAAGATTGGCTTCGGCACGGGAAGTACGTCTAAATAGCCTAGCACTGCGCCAATCTCCTCCTTGTCTCCATGATCGACACTAAGCTGTGTCCCTCGCAGGTGCTCTGTTCAAGAAAGACTGCGCCGCGAGCGTCACGCTCGCCATCCAATCCGGCTTCACACACCTCGACTGCGCGCAGGCGTACGAGAACGAGGCGGCCCTCGCCGCGGGGCTCAAGGCCTCGGGGAAGGCCCGCTCGGAGGTCTTCATCACCACGAAACTCAGGCCCGGGACCGCCGCCGCGAAGGTGAAGGAATCGGTCGTTGAGAGCTTGCAGAAGCTCGGTGTAGATCAGTGCGTTTGCATTTGGTCTTCCTCCCGCGCTCGATCCCCGTCTCACGCACGCGCGCATCGCAGAGTCGACTTGTTCCTCATCCACGCGCCGCGGCCACTCGTCGAGGGCGACACCCTCCCCTCGCTCTGGGCAGCGGTCGAAGCGATCCAGACAGAAGGTCTCGCAAAGAACGTCGGCGTGAGCAACTTCACCGCGGACGATCTCAAAGCCATCGTGCCCACCGCCAAGATCCTGCCCGCGGCCAACCAGATCGAGCTGCACCCGTGCGTGGCGATCTCACTTGTTTCTTCGTTCCCATTCTAGGGATCTGACTCCCCACGGCTTCCTAGCTATGTGTACAAAGCAGCGGAACCCATCCTCGCGTACGCCCAGGAGAAGGGGATCAAGATTGAATCGTACGGCGGTCTTACTCCCCTCGTGCGTGCACCCGGTGGGCCCGTCGATGAGGTCCTCGCGCGCATCATCTCTCGCCTCGGGGGAAGCGTGACCTCCGCGCAAGTCCTGACGAAGTGGCTCTGGCAGAAGGGCGCGGTGGTCGTTACGTGCGTCCGATTCATCTGGACTCGCTCATTGACAGTGCTTCTGTGCTAAGCGTATGCATCCACAGGACCTCGAGCAAGGAAGATCGGCTTAAGGAGTATCTGGCTTCGGCCGATGTGTCCGATCTCACTGCGGAAGAGATCAAAGCGATCGACGAGGCTGGAGCGAAGCTGCACAAGCGCGTTTTTATGGCGCATGTATTCGGAGAATAGGCGGTCGGACCAGCAAATGAAGCGGTTGCACCTTGCGTAGTATAAGTAAATATGGAAGATACTGCCTACAGATAGATACATAAACAAGATTAACCAAAGATCACAACAAAGGCTACAGCCGAGTTATCTGCATCTTTAATCGGCGTCATATGCATCATCCCAAACTTGTGGCGACTGATGTCTGTTGAGCGTGGCTTGAGAAACAAGATATCAGCGTCTCTTTGATTCGGGCGCGTACACATAGATGTAACTCACTAGCAATCCCTTGTTTGGCACTTTGATAGCGCAACGCAAGGATAAGGGAACGCCCCGCCGAATCGCGTCTTTCACGTCTTCGCGCATATGCCGCGTCTCATTCCTGTCTTCGCCGGCGGTAATGAGTGAAGCCACATCTGCCCGAATTAGCGGCGATGAATTCACATCTCGCGACGACCGACTCGGAAGTCCCAGGAATGCTGAATTCGATAAACCTCGCTATTCTGGAGCCATTTCAAAGGTAACCACTCACACAACATCTGGGGCGACACGAAGATCACCTCCCGCTTCTTGAGCTTGACGATCATGACCTTGTTGTACGTGTTCTGGAAGATAGCATACTGATCATGCAGGCCGTGGACACCGGGCCCATTCAGCGTGGCCTCTGCGCCGGCAATCACGCTCTTCCCGGCCGCAGCACGGTGACTGTGTCCAAACAACCCTTTGAAGAAGCCAGCAGTCCCGGGCTTGTTCGCCGTCGTGGCGACGGACCCAGCAGCCGCATGCTGAGAGGTAAGACTGCTCGCCACCACGCCATAATCTCGGAAGGAGGCCAGATTCGGCGACATCTCGATCGGGGTCTGGCTCTGCGAGTCTGTCGTCGTCTGCAGCCCCAGACCGCGCTCGTTGGCGAGCAAACCAGTCACATTCGTCTGTCCGCCTATAAAGTAGATGATTGACCCTTGAATGTCCCGGACCGGGATGATGCACAACAGCTGCAACAACATCAGCACAGGAGCAGGTCATTCGAGAGAAGCAAACGCACACAATAGAACGGCTCCCCGTTTCGCCGGTAGTTGAGCAACAGCTCTGAGCATCCCGTTCCGTTATTCAGCCCATTCCGGATCCTCTGCACACTTGCTGGCGCCGTCCCAGGACCCTGCAGGAAGCGGCAATTTCTGCCGATGATCTGTGCTTTTGAGTACCCGGTGATGGCCATAAATCCGTCCGAAACTAGCACGATAGGATGGTCGGGCAGTCGGGGATTCGTGAGTACAAACGTATCGCCCAGCCCTTCACTATCACTGGAGGCGAGGTTGGCTTTCCCAAGCGTGACATGAGTTTCCTGGATAATCTGGTGCTTCACATATCGCTAGCACACGCATGAGGGACACTCGAGCGAAGAGGCGCCCAAGAACATACCTGGAAACCATCCTGATATAAACTCTCGAGTATCTCAGCCTGAGAGCTAGCGAGGGATACGTTCACCGCACTGACGCGCTGCAGCGCCGAGAGCAGCTCCCGTCTCGACTCGGGGTTCAGATTGACCTGACTTTCGCTCAGATTCGACAAGTACAACTCTGCATTCACCATCAGAATGATCTTCGCGGCACAATGAAAAAGCATACGGACCCTTGAATGCGGCGCCATCCGCATATAGCTTGTCCATGTTCTGCACTAGATAACTCGAATCCGTCCAGAAATCCAGTTCCGCCGTGCCCGAGGGCCCATCCGCAGCAGCCAGGAACTCGCGATACCGCTGTCTCGCTAGAGGATCTTTGAGAATCCGTGCAAACATCTCCCGGTCCATCAGCGCGCGCATACTATAGTCAACATCTCGCTGGATCAGCTCGGTCGGCATCGACGACAGACCGAGCAGTGTGTGGTGCTTCATCTGCTGCCGCCGCGAAGTGTAATTTGGATCCCCACTCCTTGCGGAGGCGGACGTGGCGAGCGACGTGTGCGACGGTGACGATCCCGGGTGCTGCTGATTGGGAAACTGGGGCTGGCCACGGGGCAATAGCGGGACGTCGGGCTCCGGCGCCCAGCGAGTCAGATCGCGGTCCGATTCTTCCGAAGCAAAGTGTCCATCCCGTTGTCCGCGACGGAACTCCAATTGGTGGTTGTCGTCCTCGTCGTCCTCATCTTCATCTTCGACCTCATCCACATCGTTCTCCTTGTCCTGCCTCTTATCTTCCTCCCCTCCCATCTCCTCCTCGTCGGTGCTCTCAAAGTCGATAACCGAGACGTTCACCGGCGAGCCCTGGATCGAAGGCGACTTACGCAACTTCTGGCAGGGCATCGGTGGCGGCGCCAGAAGGTCGTTTGGGGTGTGCTGCCCAGCATTCGACTTCCGGCGGGGTCGATTGAGCTCGTGGAAGTGCTTCTGAGTTGAAGACTGAACATCCGGAGCCGTTTGAGCATGACGGGGGAATTCAGGGAGCAAGATGTCGTGAGATAGTGCTTGGTGGGCTGCGGCGGTGGGAAGATGGATGGCACTGCTCGTAGGATTCGAGGATGGTAGTGGAGGAGGGGGGAGGCCAGCTGAAGCAGCGGCATTGACAGCTCTCGTCTCTCCGCTCGCATATCCCGAATCAGTTCTGTCTGCGGGATCGTCTTCCTCTTCCGGTATGATAGCAGCAGGTGGCTCGACTTCCAATGCTGGCTCCAGTGGCACCTGCTGCTGGAACTGCAGCGGATGCGATACTGGCGTAGACTCGTGGTCTGCTGCTTGCAATTCGAGGTTGGTCGGCATCACGGTGATTGCCTGACTCGTCGCTGATGGCGCAAGCCCGGATCCGGCGCCATTGACCCAAGACGCAGACAATGAATGCACAGGTGCCGATTCCCGTCGCCGCTGGATGAGCGACTGCACGCCGGGTGTCAGGGAATGCCGTTTCGGGGAGGGCGTTCCGGGATGGGGGTGCGACGTACTCATGGAAGCCGAGGTTGCTACGGCTGGTGGAACGCCACGCGGGACAGCGGGAAGCTCAGCGGACGGAGGTGGGGAGAGTGGCAAGTATTCGGCCGGGACGCGGATGGTAAGTTTTCGTTCGATCAGGTCAGCATAAGAAGGCGCATGCACGGGCGCCGAATGGGTTAACTCGGGTGAGTGGGCTGCCCATCGTTGTTTCAGCTGTGTTTAATCTCCAGTCGAGAACGGGGATACGTACCGAAGGAGAACGAACTGGCCTCATCCTCGGTCATGGGCGATGTAGGCAGGGAATCGAAAGGCATGTGGGTAGAATCACCGGCCCGTGGGTCATTCATGACGATGGGGACAAGCATCTCGTAATTTTGTGAGTCTTCCTCGTCGCGGAAGAGATATAAGGAGTGGAGGGATTCGACATAGGACCCCTTTCTTCAGACGCTGAGACCGGAAGCGATCGAGTGGACGAAACATTGCGCATGAAAAAGTCCGTCTCAGCACTCACACTACCTTGAAAAGTAGCTGGTGTCCCTGTTATGGATGCTTTATTCCGTTCCAGTGCTCCGAAGCCTTCGCAAAAGGTGAATGGAGTAGAGTGGTCTCCGACAGCCCCTCTGACCCGTAAGGATTGAAATTTCGCATGTAGTATGAAATCAAATTGGGAAATGATGCCAGCAAACAGTCGCAGATAGAGAAGGCAGATGACTAAGTCACCGTGACTCACGAGGATCATCCAGCAGTCTCCCAAGTTGCATTCCAGAGCTGGCAGCAAATCTGGTCAACTTCCCAAACGTTCTCCAGTCTCGAAATGTCCGATCTCCTTCGCTCGGCCATGAGCGCCCGATTGGCTAAGCTTCCCGCCGATCTACCGAATTTGCGTGACGAGGATGAGGATGGGGATGGGGAATTGTCCGACACCGTGGGCCAGCTTCCCGGTGGTATAGGCAGCGGACTAGGTCCACCAGCAGTGTGCGTATTAGACCGTATGAATCAGACACATCTAAGACACCCATCATCGCGCAGCCCGCGTCTCACTCGCAAACCCAAAGCCAAACGGCCACCCAATCCCGACTTCGCGCCCATCTCCGCCTCCGGATTCTTCTCCGACGCGCTTCAAGTCGTCGTGTCTGCCCGTAATTTGGATGTGCGTGTCTACTACACGCCACCCGATCAAGCTGGGGGTACCGTGTTAGTATGCCACCACGGAGCGGGATACTCTGGACTCAGCTTCGCCTGTCTCGCGAAGGAGATCGCAGGCATGACCAAAGGAGAATGTGGTGTTCTTGCATTAGACGCGAGGCGGCACGGTTTGTCGTCACTTTTCTGTGGCTTCGAAAACACTTCGGTCATACGCATCAGGAAAGACAAAGTCCCTGCCAGAAGGCAGCAAGGAAGACGAGGATCTATCGATCGACATCTTGGTCGATGATCTGGTCGAAATCATCTCCACCGTCTTTCCCGACGCATCTGCTGCCCCTTCATTACTCGTGAGCCTCATGATACGCGCCCATCTACAGGATCGTGAAATGATCGCAGCTAATCGGCCACAGCATGGGTGGTTCCGTCGTCACTAGGGCTTGTCCCAGAATCCAAGAGCGCAAGTTCCGGGTTACCGGCGTGGCAGTACTGGATGTTGTTGAAGGTCAGAGTTTCGGTGAACGGTTAACGATGATCTGTCTCATCCCCCTCAGGATCAGCGATGGAAGCTCTCCCGCACATGCAGAACCTTCTCAACTCCCGTCCTGACGGGTTTGATTCAGTCGAGAATGCTGTCGAGTGGCAGTGCGTATCTTGCCTGGTGTAAATTCGACTCCGAATGACAGTCTCCACTGGCAGTTTCAAGACCAAGGCAATCCACAATTCACACTCCGCGCGCATATCTGTACCTTCCATCATCACACCAGCACCAGCGTCATCCTCGGTTGGATTCCCCTTCGTTTGGAGAACACCGTTGCGGTCGACGGCGCCGTATTGGACCAGCGAGTAGCGGCAGTTTGAAGAACGGATATCTCACTGACAAGAGGGTAGGCTGGTTCTCTGGTCTCTCGGCTGCCTTTCTCGCTGCTCGCACTGCCCGACTGCTCCTGCTGGCAGGCACCGACCGGCTTGACAAACCACTGATGATCGCTCAAATGCAAGGCAAATTCCAGATGATCGTAGCGGGCGGGGGAGTGGGCCATCTGCTTCATGAAGTGCGTGACTACTTGCGCGATCAGTCTTGCGTTACTGAGCGGTTCTAGGACAACCCCACACATATCGCTGATATTCTCGTCGAGTTCTGGCGGAGGAATGACACCCTCAGGCTTCCGCCCAAGATGGGAGGTGTCCGAATCAAAGCTGTGGGAGAGGATTAGAATGCATGTAGAAGCATGGATTGTACGCAGAGCTAATGTAAGCATTCTGTCATGTATCGAGCTCTAAGCTGTGACGATGCGAAGAACGCAAACACTACGGAAGGTGGGCCCCCCAGGGTAAACGAAAGCAATTCATTGGTGCATCGCATACACATATATACCACACCCGCCATATTTTACACCCTCTGAAAGCACAAGCACAGCAAAAGTCTGCACCCTAATCATCCTTCTTGCCGTCTCTTTTAGGGGGCGGAGGAATGCTGAAACCGGCAGTGGGATTCGGGGTCGGGGGGAACATGCCGTATTGCGGCGTCCCGGGGAGACTGGGTCCGTTCTGCGCGTATCCTCCAGTGCCGAGCGGACTGGTGACGGACAGAGCACCGTTGATGCTAACTGGCCTCGGCCGGGGACTGCCCAAATTGGCAGACGCGGGCGACAACGCTGCCATCGAATTGGTGCGGATGTGACCGGAGCGCGGCGGGCCGGCGCTGGGAGGCGGGCCAAACGACGCACTGCCGGGCATGGGAGAACTCGGTTGCGACGTGTATGGTGAGTTGATGTACGGGGATGGCGTTGCATACGGCGAGGAGGGGAAGGATCCAGAGACGGGGGTCCCGCTGTAGGGCGAGCCTGCATCCGATTTAGGGCGGGTCGGTACTATAACTTCGCCAGCAACGTACCGGGAGTACCCTCCATGACCCATCCACCACCTTGTGGAATCATCTTTCCGATCGACTTCGGCCTGGACCGGAGGGACGAGCCACTGAACTTGCCCCGGAGAGTCGAAGCGCCGGTACTCGCAGCCGCTGGTGTGATTTCATCTTCCGACTCTCCAACAACTGCCGCAACCGCAGCGGAGCCGGCCTTGATACTCCACGACATGCAGGTAAAGACACCTCCAATCACACCGACCAGCCTGCGACCGATCAGCCCGAGCCCAGGGGCAAAGACAAGCAAGCGAACACCCACCGAATGAGCAACTGGATGAAACTCGGGGTGCGCTGGTGGATAGTCAAACTCATAGGATCCAGGTCAAACTTGAAGAAGATGCCGGGAGTGCCGTCGTGCGGGCCGAAAACGCGGGTGTAGTGAGTGACGCTGTACTGGTTTGTGTGCAACGGGGAAGAGCGGGGTGCAATGTAAGTAGTGGGAACAACATGCAAGAAGTACTGATATGCCACAAAGTCTGTAAGCAGACATGAGATTCTGATAATATGCGGGATGAACGCAAATTACGGTCTGTGGTGACTTCAAAAGAGTTGTCCAGAGGCTGGACGATCTCTGGGAAGTAGGGTCCGAAAGAGAACTCCGTGATAACATGCGAGAGATTCATCACTGTCCTGCATGGTCAGACGAGAACAAACCGGTCTTGGGTTCCAACACATACGCGTGTGATCTACATGCTGGTGGGATGCATAGCCATGCCCCAGCGTCGTAATGTGCAAGTTGGCCGTAACCTTCTTGACCTCTAGCATTCCCGAGATCCTGCAACCCTTGGCGTCGGGCTCGTGCTTGTATGACGGCATGTGCGGCGTGGTGTCCCACCGGAACAGTCCTCCGAGGAGGCCACGCGACTTGCGGGATTGGGCGACAGCTTGGCGGGCCGACAAGGCCTTGGTGTGCTCCCTGGAACTAGGTTGGACCGTATTCGAAAGAATGGCAGAAGAGCCGGACGCACTGCAAAGCCGTGGCTTGGCCGAGGTCGAACTTCGTCCCATCACGGCGGATGCTGCGTGTCGAGCTCAAGAACAAACGGTCGCCGATGGCGTCGCGGAGATCGACGCTGAGGACTATAGGTGGATTCAGCGAGAAGCAGAGAATAGGGGTGGGAGACGCACACGAGCAAGGCATAGCAACGACCATATCCACGTTAATATTCATAAAACTGCCTTGGACGGTATCGACGCTGAATTCATGGTCCGGCCATCCGAAGACATACTCCCCGACATCGTTCAGCATGAGCAAGAACGTGACGAAGGCGACGAAGAGGGTGAGGAACCCGCGCGAGTCCGACTGCGATTTGTATGACGACGGGACCTTGGAGAAGGCGTCGAGTTGGGCGAGAGGGGCCGGGACGACCTGGTCCAGCTTCTCGAGAATGCTGCCATCTTCTCCTTCACCAGACATGGCGGCAACAGACGAAACGATGTGGCGGACGAAGAGGAGAGAGTGAGAAAATGAGAATTTGTTCCAGGGATGCTAAATCACGCCCTCCTACGTGTCAGATAGTCACGTGGTCTTCGGATAAACCCAGGCGTTGATCATGAGGCTCTTGAGCCAAAAAACTTCCGGCACAAGGGACTGGGGGGTTGGGCGTTTATGTAATCTACGGACAAGAGAAATCTAGCACAGCAAAGCATGGTAAAGTTACTCTGTGACCCCTGATTTACGCCATCACCAGCAGAGACGGGCAATACACAGCCAAACTACTCCTGCGCATCTCGATTAGGAAAGTCTAAGCAAGAAATATCACTCGCATCACGATCTCGGCTCTAGTCAAGGTTAAGCCCGCAGATTTGAATGGTCTGAGACTATATTGACAAGCCTGTGTCTATCGTTTCCTTTTTCGCGCACTCGATAGTCACCAGTCGTCTCTCACTCCCTTTCCATCACCTGCTGAGTCGCAGATTGCGGCCAAGAGTCTTCATGACGATCGGCATGGCGGCGGCCTCGCATGGGAACAACACAGCTCCTCGGACTGCCCGAAAGGCATCGATCTCTTACCGCTCAAATGGGAACAGTGAGAGCAATTTCTCAGCGAGTGCGTCTCGTTTGCAGTCTCTGGCTGATGTTCGAAAGTTGTAACCAGCTCTCCATCTGGCCCTTCTCTTGAGAGAACGAAACTCGACTGTACTACAAGATCGCGAAAACCAGCCAATGAGATCGATGGTCTGCGGGATGAGATCGTCCCATTTGACAGCCCGACAACCCGTATTTCCACGAATGGCCAGGAGCCCGATCGCGAGACCCGCGTGGTTTCCGAACATTCGAAGGAGATCTCGTCGGAACCCATCCATGGTATCACAGACTCGGTCACAGGAAGCGAGTCGCAAACGCTGAGCAATCGGTGCGGAGTTAGAGAGGAAAACGAGGAGATTGTCACACCTCATGATATTCCGTAAAGTCTGCCTTTCACGCCAAGGCGTTTGAAACAAGACAGCATGGCGACAAACGTCCCCCCATAGCCTCGACAGAAATCTGATATCGGATAGAGATGAAGGGGGGGTTAGATACCTATACTGTAACACACACGGGCACGTGGCTCAGCGAAAGTATGTCCGATAATAATGGGGGAATTTCAGCGCCCATGGTATCCTGAGATAGGCGATGTCGAGACATCAGCAAGTCGATCGATAGTAGCGCACAAGCAGCGCAACATAAGTAAGTCGGCATGTACGCACCGGCCAGCTGATACTCAGACACCAAGTCAGACGAGAAGATTTTTAGGCTTGGCTCTGACAGTGAAACAGAAGGGAGAGGCGTCCGACGTTGACCGGCGGCCCTTCGCCTGCTCCCAGATGATACCGTGGCTGCAGGGACATGGCAACTTTGGCAAGGCGCTGCCAGATTATACCGTAACTCTCCAAGGGGTGAAAGTGGCTGGCCTTCCCAGACCAAGGATGGAAAGGACAGATAGACCCTGTTCGTTTCTGGCATGAAATTTCAGCGATAGTGAAGCTGAAGAAGATTTAAATGTGCTAGCAAGCCGTTCCCGTGATATAAGAGTAGTCCAGCGCAGGTTCTATGAGACTATCCAGTGTTTGATGGATATCATGGAAGCCGGCTCACGAGAAGCTACAGAGTGAATAGAGCATCTCGGGGACCTACTCAGAACGGAGATGAATCCCTCACGGTAAGAATGGGGCGGCCGGTGCGCCCCGAAAATCGCGCAAAAAGATGCCCTCCCTGATGGGCCGTAGGTCTCGAACAATCACCGAGGAGTGATTTTTCGGCATGCTGATTGAACCTCGTTCTCACCTTGTCCGTCCCTGGCGTAACAGCCGTCGCGCATCCAAGATCCGTGAATGCTAGCCGAATTGAATGGAAAAGGTCACGCTGAAAGACCGGTTACTGTGTGCCGTTTGGGAAAAGTGAAAGAGGCGCGTCGGTCAACTGCACCTGGTCCTTGAACTGTTGTCAGTGGATCAGTCGATGTCAGCCATGGCGGATCCAGGATCTGATGTGATCCCTTTATCCCACAGCCGGCGATGCTGATGTAGTCACGTATGGGCAGAATAGGCGCCCCACTGGAACCAGTGCCGCCGCTACCCTGGCTCGAACAGTAGCCACGGATAACGCAAAGTCGACTCCAACTACAACCCTTTGAATTGTTTTCAGGAATGACAGCGCCGGTCCACGGGCCTCGGGCGGCAATAGGTCAGAAACTGGTCGGCACGATCGGTCTGTGGTCCGGCTGAAGGGTGGAGATAGCCAGTCGGCATCATCGTCCGAATCGGCAGAGCATGAACCGAAGTCAGACGCTGTTTGAGTACGCCTCTTGCGAGCCTTAGACGCAGGTGAGGTGTATGCAGCAGATCGGGAATCCGCCTCCCGTTCGCCATGGCCAATCAAGCGGCGGTTCCAGGGCCTCTGATACACGCCCCCTATGATCACCCTGAGGCATCTGGAAGACGCACATACTGCTCATCGGCACGACAGGCCCTCTTGGTCTGGAGTGGCAGGCCTCATGGACTGATGATGATGGGTGCACAGACAATCAAAGTTGAGACGTCCGGTGCTTCGCTGCTGCGGAGTTCCCAGCTCGCGTGGTCAATCTCTGATCAACTGATCATATTCTTCCGGCAGTGACAGATCGCGCGGGTGGACAGAACATCCGCCCAGCGGCGCTTCTCGGGGATCTTGATCGAGGAATTCGACGAGGTGGCTTCCGGTCCGATGGTCCTGAGGAGACCGTGGGATCTTCGAGCTGGCGGTTGCCGTAGTTAGACTTTGGCGCGCACACGTCGTTGAGCCATATTCGTGTCACCTGGTTGCGACCGGCGGCAACGGACGGAAATATCGTTAGTCGGACGTCGTAAGAGAATTAATGCAGACCGAGGGATCTTGGACTGTGCTGTTGTCACAGTGGGTCTCTCCAAAAATGAGCTCAGGTAGAGCTGACTGCCGAGCAGCCGACGCTACTGTACGTAGCGGATCGAGCCCAGGTCAGGGCTTGCTAGAAGTCGCGACGCTCGGGTCGCGTTTGATTAGGATACATAATATCGCACGTCCCGGGTGCGGTGGCTCCGCGTTTGGTGTCTCCGGTATTCGAGAAAGCTCTGCGACGCTGACAGATGGATGTGCCGTCAGAATGGAGACCTCCGAGAATAACTTGAACGATCATTTCGGGTGCGTGACCAGGTGGCTCTCAAGTCTCGCCCGACTAGCGCTCTCACAAATGGAGTTGGTGCTGCGCTTGGGCCATCCATCATCCATGAACGTCGAGACCCAATGATGGACTCACACAGCCACACGTCAAAGCATCCTTTCCCCACAACTGAGTATAGCTCACTGTTCTTGCTACTTGGATCGTTTCTGTGGCACACAGACACAGGAGAAACCTGCAATCAGATCCATTTTTTAAAAACACAAGTCCATCCAGGTCAATGGGCGACCGATCCTCTGTGCGACTGTTCACGAACCGGTAGTGATTGTAGAGGCTACTGTTCCGTCTCGAAGACCAACCCTTCCGCAGATGCAACTAGCTAGCACATCGCCCATCCGCGTTAGCCAAAGCCGCTGCCTTCGACTCATCCCCCATACTCGCTCAATCGAGGAGCTAGCCTGGCGCCCCTTCGGAACCTTCTTTTGCTGTTCGGTTGTCATTCAAGAAATCGAACAACCCCGTCAACCATATCGCCGCCTCGTAGCTCATCAGTTGCAGTGACCACCGACATCCGCGGCCAGATCACAGCTCAGCGCACCATGTCTTTAGAACACTCGCATCGGATCCACCATCTCTGGCACCCCCCACATTCGATGGCCGCTTTGTTCGATTTCAACGCTGGAAGAGAGCCCAAGAACGGTCGTGGTGCTCATGCTGCTTCTGACTGCGCTATGGGACGCCTCCCGCCTCTCCATGACGGCCACCCGGATGTGCATCTGCACAACGGCGCCCTGGCGGCGCCACGCCTTGCAGCAGAAAACAAGACCAACGCGGAGGGTGCGTTCTACGTCGCCGACCTGAGCGAGGTGTATCGGCAGCATGTGCGCTGGACGGCCGCACTGCCCGAGATCCAGCCCCACTACGGTGCGCCCGCCGCTGCCGCTTTGTTCGCACCCTTAGCTGAACTTCAAAAGCTGTTAAATGCAACCCGGACCCTTACGTTCTGCGCCTCCTCGCTGCACTGGGCGCCGGCTTCGACTGCGCGTCGGACGGGGAGATATCGCAAGTGCTGGCGATGGGCACCGACCCGTCCCGCATCATCTTCGCCAATCCCTGCAAGGCTCAGTCGTCCGTCCAGCGCGCCGCCAAGGCAGGGGTCGCCCTGCTGACGTTCGACAACACAGACGAGCTGCACAAGATCGCCGCCGCGCACCCGCACGCGCAGCTCGTCGTGCGCATCCTGGCCGACGACACACGCAGCTCGAGCCAGCTGGGCACCAAGTTCGGCGCCGCGCTGGCGGACGTCCCGGGCCTGCTCGCGGACGCACAAGCGCTGGGTCTCAACGTCGTCGGGGTGAGCTTCCACGTCGGGAGCGGGTGCACGGACCCGCGCGCGTACATTGATGCCGTCGCGCGGGCGCGCACCGCGTTTGACATCGGCGCGAGTGCCGGCTACGCGTTCTCCCTGCTGGACGTCGGGGGCGGATTTATCGACGCGCTGTTTGAGGATGCGGCCCGGTGTTTGATGGAGGGCATTGATCGATACTTTCCCCAGCGTCTGGGGAAGGTGAAGCTGATCGCTGAGCCGGGCCGCTACTATGTGTCAAACGCGTTCCGCCTGGCTACAAGCATCATCGCGAGGCGAGCTCCAGCGGTGCTTGAAGGGGCTGATATGCAACATGACGTGGGCAGACCAGCGGTGAAGTGTAAGCGAAGCGTGAGTTTCCGGGGCTGAAGTGCTATCTGCTCATCTGCTGCGCAGACTACATCAGCGATGGGGTCTATGGGGCGTTCAACTGTCTGATATTCGACCCGCACATCGCCCGTCCCGCGCCCTACGTCCTGCGCATGTCAGGGGCCTCAGACACCGAGACAGCACTCGTCACGTGCAGCTTGTGGGGCCCGACATGTGATTCGGTTGACTGTGTAGCCGAGAGCATTCTGCTGCCCCGGGCGCTGCGCATCGGGGACTGGCTGGTCTTTGAGAACATGGGGGCATACACGATTTCCGCCTCCAGCCGCTTCAACGGCTTTGCGGTGAGCGAGATTGTGTACACAACGGGCGCCGGGCCCGAGGCCGCCGTGGTTCGACGTGCGCTCGCCCATCTCGGAGTTTGATGAGCGAACTGAAAATGACGAAGGGGGTGGGATGACGCCACCGCACCGTAACATAACTACGACATATGATCTCGACTCTCCCGTTTTGTTGCATGGAAAGCCAATGGAAGACAACGGAAATGGACGTTTGATGCCGAGCGCATTTGTCGAGGAAGGTTTATCAGCGCATGAACTGTCAGTGCGGGGTTCTTCGTCCCCGGTACCGAGAGATAAGAACTCGACAGCCTGGATACACGATTCTCCCACGCAGCGATCGAGGATCAAGGAACGTGCTGACGTCTCCACGAATCACGATCGAGAAGACCTGCCTGTTATGGACTGGCACCGTTCTCTCCGCGATTTTTGAGCGGAGACACTCAGAATTGCCCGGCCATATCCGGGACACTGTCCTGCTAGCCGTGATCGGCCCTCGTCCGTCGCGACGAAATGCCTGCTGTGGCAGCGACACGATGACAGCGACTCACAGCCGCGCTGGGCCCCGGTGCGCGAGGCTAGTTGTGGACAGTGCAGTGTGGCACGGCCGCCGACCCTGCCAGAAGGCCCGCACCCAATCCCAACTGATTCCAATAACATTAGCACGGCATCAGCAGAAGAATTCCCCGAGATCGCATCTGCAGGGCGGCCTGTTCTTGGTCTTGGGCTTGGAGATCCATCGACCACCCAGGCCACCCGACGTCAATCTCCATCGCTTGCCTTACATAGTCATCCTACGGAAATGCATTTGAACAAACGGGCGCCCGCAAAACAGGTCGTTTGCTTTCTCGCTTGTCTGCCCGCCAACTCCCCTCCCCCCCTCCCTGTGCCTTCCTCAGTGCCCAACAACAACAGCATTTCGGCGTCTGTCAACGTTACTCTTGCCTTGAATGGAGGTGCGCCACCCACCGTCTTTCGCCGCCGCTCAATTCACAGACCGCGGATCCAGGACTCGCCTCTGCCCTCGACGTCCTCGTCTCAGAGCCCGCGCTTCCGGCCCTTCGCATGCCCGAGCCACCCCATCGCCAAGGGGCGGTATATCACCAGCAATGATCCCCGGGGATACATGTGCGTCCCGGTTCCATCGCTGCAGCGCATCGCGCGGACGCTGACGTCTGCAGCCCGGTCTACGAGTACCCGCTCAACGGACAGTGGATCATGATGGACATCGACGATGGGTATATTCTGTGGACAGGAATCTGGAAAGGTGCGTCGT